TCGTAGCATTGATGGACGACCTTTGAGAGCTGCTAAATTTGGTGACATCGTTGAATTTTATGTCGCACTTTCACCTGACAGTAAGTTAATGATTAAATTTGAAATTAAAAAAATTCTGATTGTTATTATTTTCGTCTATTATCATTATGAATTCCTATCACTAACTGCTGTTACTGAAATTTACGTAAATACGACGAGACACGTAAAATTGTTAGCTATCATCAATCACTTATCATTTATTCGGAGTCGTTACTTTAGTTTACGTAAATACTTCGAGACACGTAAAATTGTTAGTTATCATTTATCATTTATTCAGAATCGTTACTGTAGCTTACGTAAATACTTCGAGACACGTAAAATTAGTTATTATTTATCATTTATTTGGAATCGTTACTGTAGTTTACGTAAATACTTTGAGACACGTAAAATTGTTAGTTATTATTTATCATTTATTTGGAATCGTTACTGTAGTTTACGTAAATACTTCGAGACACGTAAAATTGTTAGTTATCATTTATCACTCATTCGTAATCACAAAAAAAAAATGATTTGAAAAGATGATAATAAGAATAGCAGATTAGCTATTGATAGTGATAATTTTTTTAGAAGCTTATCATGGAATTAGTCCTAAAGAATGTATGTTTTCTGATCGAGAGGATATGTCATCACCTGATGCAAAGCATTTAACTTTTGTTCAAAGCAGGTTAATGTCATCTACAAACTTTGACACATAAATGAATTTTTTATTTTGATAATAATAAATTATTAAATAAATTTACAAATCATTTATGTGCGGTATAAAAAATTTAAATTTGCATTCATTTCATTAATAGAATAATGATAAGTAGCAAAATTTTTTTTTTTTTTTTTTGATAAATTTGAGCAATGTTTCACGGAAATGAGTAATTGACAGAATTTTATGAATGCTTATTTCAGATATTAGATATTAGATATATATTAATAAATATCATAATTTAATTACATATGTATGATATGAATGTTTACTTTAAATATTGTATATAGATTAATAAATATTATAATTATATATATAATAGACAAATAATTTAATTTAAATAAATCAATTTTTTTTAATATTATAATTACATGTATGCAATAGATAAATAATTAAATTTAAGTGAATCAATTTTTTCAAATATTGTAATTATATATATGAATTAGATAAATAATTTAATTTAAGTAAATCAATTTTTTTTAGCTGTCCGGTAGATGAAATGAGCGAAATCATCGATCCATTGGCAAATGTCAATGAAGAAGTATATTTTTCAAAATTTAAAACATTTCGTTTTGGTAATCAATCGACAGTATTTGCTCATTGTACCGTTCAAGTATGTCTCACTACTGAAGAATGTGCACAGGTATAAATATTATCTTTAATAAAAACAATAATTGTTTTCTCTTAAACAAAGAAAGAAATGATTATCTTTACTTAAGAGCGAAAAATTTTTTACTAAGAATTTAATAAGTAAAAGTTTAATATAAATTAATTTAGATAGTATAACGATTTGAACTATTAAATTAAAACTGCTTTTTCTCAAAAAAAAAAAAACCATTCAATGATATTTTGAATTTGTATTGATAATAATTTTATTTCAGCGAAAACATTTTTGAGTTATAAAAGTGTAAAATTTTTCTTGATTTCTTAAAGTATAATCTTTTCTTTTAATAGACAACAAAATTTTATTAAAATATATATTTTCGAGAAATGCTTCAAACGAATTAGCAATTCGAATTTAACTGCTGAACGATTACGTTTTCGACACAGACGACAACTGGATGACAATTACGGTGCTTCAGTAATTCGTAAACAAAATGCTATCAATGAAATTGCATTAACACGACCGTTAACCATTTTGGATGATATGGAAAGCAATGAAGGTTACAATGAAGCTTTTTTTACCTTTCTCTCTCTCTGTCTCTCTCTCTCTCTTTAAATTTATAAAATATTATTTAAATAATTTAAAAATATTATTTAAATAATTTAAAAATAATTATAATGTATATATTTAACGATTACGTTTTTATCCTTATCTTATCACTTTCCCTACTATCAATTATTTGCCTCTGAAACCAAAAAAAAAATATATAATTAAATTATTTTAATGATAAGTTCAAATCATTTTTTGAATTTAATCTTTTAAAAGATACTTATTTAGCTGTTTATTGAAATAAAATGCAAAGAAATTTTTTGCTAATTTTTATATTCTAATTGAGCTAACTCATTGTTTACTTTTTTTTTTTCAGTAAATGATAATAAAGTGGAACAATGTCTTATTAAAAATGCTATTTTACCACTACCAATTTTTATCCTTATCTTATCACTTTCCCTGCTATCAATTATTTGCCTCACTGGACTGTTATTTACTTTAAAACGATTGGCTACATATAGAAAATTTGCACCATACAGTTTTGGCATCTACAGGTAAATATACTTTGGTTTTTTTTTTTTTTTCAGACTGATTTATCACATTTCTTTTTTTTTATCATTCACTATCACTATTATCAATTGAAAATTTAGTCCTATTTGTTAAAATGTGAACTTGGCCTGTATATATATACTAAATTTCTTTATTTTATTATAACTTTCTTATATGATAATTTTTAAAAGTATTAATCAAAAAAAGAAAGGAATGGAAAAGTAATTTAAAAAAAAAAAAAAACTAATTGAAATTCCAACTTCATGTTCAATAATTTAAAATATAATTTAATCACGAATAACTCTTGAATTTATTCTTAATTATAAATTATCTAAATTAATCATTAGGCTAATTTTTTTTAGTGCTTATTCTGGACCAACAGTACCACTTCCAGTACGGTCACTAACCGATTCATCCGTATGCAATTTGCCGAATAATGGCAATAGAACAAACTGGACAAATCGATTATCATCAGGAATTGAATATCCATATATTCGAGAAATGTATTGATTGATTGATTTAAAAATGTCATCTATCTCTGAAATTCTTTTATTTACTATCTAATCATTTGATCGCGGAAAAGATGTAAAATGAAATATAACAAAATTTATTTTACCAATGAAAAATTTATTTAATTGAATTTTTAATTGAAATTCCAAAAAATCCACTTCATTAACTAATAAATGATTATGTTTTCTGTGTTGTCAAAAATCGACAAAACTATTCCTTTCGGAGATTACTGTACACTACAGAACCCCACATAATCACTCAAGCAAAAGGAATACGGTAGTGCTACAGTATCCCTGTTCATAATACTAAAAGGAATAATTTAATTACTTTTGCTTGCCTTATCAAATTTCAGATAATACATCATATTGCTTGTTTGTTTACTTTACTTTTTGTTCTGTTAACATTAAACACAATATCGTCCCTAATTTACTTACCAAATTTTATAATCTTTGATAGTTGAAATTATCTGTTCATTGTTTCTCGAGATTTACTAGATGTATTATTATTTACTCCACATTGAATATTTACTTTCTTTCAAACAATTTACTATTCCATCTTTCAAAGTAATAAACTTTGTTTTTATTCGTATTTTGATTCGAACACACTAATTTAGAATTCTATAAAAAGACAAGAGAAAGAAATAATGGATATTACATTATAAGTAATACCTGTTACTTTCGAATTACTTTAAAGGAAATTTTTCTCACAAATCTATTGGTTCATCATTTGCATAAGTATCAAATTATCAATTTCATTAATTTAGTAGTAAAGAAATTTACATATAGTAAAAAGAAAAAACTTCTGATGGAAACATTTATTGTTTAAAAAAAAAGTTTTAAAAAAAAATTGAAAAAGTTATTTGTATGTCTGTTACTTCCGAATTATCAATTTTACTTCATTACTTTAATTTAATTGCAAAGAAAAGATTTCTACTGGCTTTTTTTTTCTTTTCATAAAGTATTCTGCAAATTCAAAAAGTTATTACATTTACTTTTTTTAAGGGACATTTTGAACAGGTGTTAATTGAGTGCAAAAATGTAAACTGCTTAATATTTCACTTTAAATTGCCCTTATCAATTTTTTGTTTATACCAAAGAAAGTTGTTTACACTTTTATAAGACAGATGTCTTTTATAGTATAAAAAAAAAGAGATGTGAAAAAGGAATCAGCGAGAAATTTCTCGACAAAGTTTTTTACCAACCATAAAATGATATAACTTTTGATCATTCAACCAAGAAATTGATCTAAACTAACCAAGAAAGTTTAACATTTAATTTATCAAAACATCAAGTTCAAATGTTTTCGAACATTAGTTGACACAATAGCTACATTTCAAAAATTTAATCATTGCAATATTCTGCAAAACTTATTTATGTGATAGCAATGAAATAAACATTTAAGTTGAAATTTTACACATTCTACAGAACAAATTTAATCTGAATCCAAAATTAATTATTAGTTAGCATTGGGTAATGTTATAGTCAGAGTAAATTACATTGCTAATTACATTGATCGTTTGCAAAGATTTCTTAAGAAAAAAGCTTATTTTAAAGTTTATCTAATGGATGCAAATTCATTGCTTAAGCAGTAAAGTCTTTGACAATATCACTAAAAATAAACAACTAAATGACTGTGATGCAATTGTTTTGTCAACTGTCACTCATCTTACTTCCTTGTCACTTGTTTTTAAATTAAGAAACAAATAAAACTTCACAAAGTTATTGTCAAAATTTAAAAAAAAAAAAAAAGGAAAACAAAAATAATGCAAGAAGTAATTAATTCCTTAAATAACTTAAACACAAGGATTTGAAGGATATTTCAACAATTGATCGTATCGCACCTGTTAAAATAAAATTAAATTATTCGATGAGTAAATGAATTTATTCAGTAGATGTTTGCAAGAATTGAACTGAAAGACTTTGATTGAAAAAAAAAAAAAAAAAGAAAACAAAAGTGACAATTCTTTCGAGACAAATAACGTTTCTTTAAAATATCTAAATTTAATAATTTTTATCATTTTACCGAATTTCTAAATTTAAATAATTTTTACCATTTTCAACCATTCTTTCCCACAGATCTTTCGAAAATTGTCTGAAAAAAAAAAACACAAATGACATTTTCAAAATTCACTTTGAATTGATTTCCATTCCTTAATAATGAATTTCCATTCCTTAATAATGAATATATCTAACAATTCTTTCTAAAAATTAAATGATAAAAAAGTATCAAAATACATACAAAGTAATGGTCAGCTGCTTTACTGCCAGTTAATTCCATAACCTTCCGACGGTTTTCCTGAACAGTTTTCCTGACATATTTTTCTGTCCATACTATAGCAATTGGCAAGGTTAATGCGTATAATGGAGTTAGTTGTACACCTGAATTTCAGTAAAATTGTTTATAAAACTTACCTGCATAAATATTTCCGAACTCACACTACCAGTATTAAAAAATTACTTCATAAAATAGTTTCTAAAAATTTCCTTTTCTTAATAAACGATGCAAATTACACGATGATGACATAATTTTAGAAATTCGATACGATATCGATAACTCAGCAATGTTTCAAACTTTCAATAACAAAATTACCGTAAGAGTTTTGTAATGGTAATACATTGTATCTATTCTAAAGTTTTATCTTTAATATATGTCCATATTAAAATTTCAATTTCGAATTAGTAAACTAAATCAGAACGAATGCAATCATTGATATGCGTAATAATAAGGTCAATATTTTCGTTGAACTGTGTTCAAATTTTAGTATTTCATATTTTTTTGCATTTCTCATCAATTTTTTTAATTTTATTTGAAACATTTAATTTTACTTCTCTACTACTAATCGAATATATTTTATTCTAATTTTAATTCATTTATACACTTTTGTCGACAGTTATATTTTTATAAATTTTGTTTGAATTTGAAAAAAAAAAGACCTAATTCATTTATACATTTTTGAATTTGAAAAAAAGAAGATTAAATATTGCTGGAAAAAGATGACAAACAAACTTTCAAGATAGATAGCAAATTGTTTTGGAGAAAATTTGAAATCGATAGCAAAATACATAAATAATGCACCCAGGAAAATTGCCAGAAATATCGAGTAAAATGCTACCATTGGTGATAATGTCTGAAGAGAATTGATATTTTCCATGATTTGATAACGATGTGATAAGTTAACGTGAATTTTGTTTCGATGTAATCTCTGAAAATTTATTACAGATTAGTGCGCTAATGTCACGAACACTTAGTTTTATGATAGATTTGTTATCAATTATAACTATGATCAAATTTTGCTGGAAGTAATTAGCCAAATGTGCAAAAGAGCAAACCAAAATGCTTAAATAATTTAGTGTCAATTTCTCGAAAAAAAAAATTTAATTGAATTAACACTTTAAATCTTAGTAAATGTATTTGTTAAAAAAAAATAATACTAATTAATCAGTTTGCCTTATTAATGCAAAATAAAAGTGGAAGTGTTAAAGCGGAAATGAAATCAATGATTGTATAAAAGCCAAAAACGATAGCTGATTTTAGCGCATTTGCTTCATTTGATGTCGAACAGTAAACTACTTTTTTTGAATCGAACAAATTGAAATTGCTAACAATGAAAAAGAAACTTCCAAAACCAATGGTTAACTGAAATTGCAGAGCTTTTTATTTTTTTAGATATTATTAGCATCGTATTTTGCTGTTTTAAATTATATATTTTAAAGTATTTTAAAGTTATCAAACTGGCTAACCCGTAGAGAGGCGACAATTTCCCTGTGACATTTCCAATGTTTTGTTTTTTTTTTGCTTATTCTTTGATTTACTGAGCTCTACTTTTGTAAATCATTACTCAGGAATGAATTTAAAAATAAGATAAGATCAAAGAACTGAATGAATTAAATTATTAGCAAAAAATTTGCTTAAACATAGATACAATTTTTAATTTTGTATTTTCTAAAAATTTTTATGAAAATAGTAAATTTAAATTCTTCTTTTTTTACCTGTGCTATGAAAAGTATAATAGCGACACTTATTCCAGATTTTTCATATCTTGCCGAAAAATATGTCGCAATAGCTCGTTCAATGACAACTGTCGGTATTGATGCAGCATTTAGAAGTAATGTTAAAGTAATCGGTGTTCGCATCATGAAACATTCCCATGGGTAAGCCATATACCCACACGGATCAGTATACGTCTTCTGATATGACACTAACACATATAAATGCGCAAATATTCTGTAACAGAAAAATTTGTCACCAATATGAGAATTTGCATAAAAAATTGATTGATTGATTGATTGATTGACTGATTGATTGATGATATGATCAAAACAATTTCTAAACGATCTTTTGTTTTTGTTCAAAACAATTCCTGAAAGCTATTTTGTAATCACCAGCATATCAGATCATTCCAAATCAATTTTGATCATTTAAAATATTTATGTCATTTTGTCAGCTTTTTTTCTTAACTTTGATATTTGATCTCAATTCTGAACGAAATGCAATGAAAGCAATTTTCTTTCTTTCCTTTTTATTATGTTTTAATCTTACTGAAATGCTCCAATCATTGTTGCAAGCAATAATTTTTATTAAAATTTCATCTTCAAATGACTAAAAAAAAAAAGGCTTTTGCTGGGTATTTGAACTATTCGAATTGTGTATCATTTATTTGGTGACATACTTTCTATCAAATATTTCCTGTTTTCTTATTGTTTTTGCCTTTTTTTTTCACTTATTATATTTGAATGATTTCTTTGTGCTTAATTTTTAGTTGCAAACATTATTGTCATACTGTTTTGTTAGTGATAACATGGATAAGTTGAGAAATTTTAATTTTTCCACATTTTGAAAAATGAAGAAACAACCTTGCAGCACAGTGAAGAATAAGCCATAATTGATGTGTGATAATTAAAATTCGAATATTTCGATGTAATAAAATATGATTTGTTGTCTTAAGCATTACCCATATTTCAAAAATAATTCCTGTTACTGATATGATAATGACAAGGATGAGAATAGCATTGAATACAATACTATTAGCTAATTCACTTGCTTGCTTACATAATTCCATATTTATAATTTTGTCTAAAAATTTTACAGTAAGCATAAAAAATTTTTAGCTTATTTCAAAAAATTTACAATGAAAAATGTATGTATTAAAAAAGATTTAATTTCAGCTGTAATCATTAATCAGTAATCAATAATCAGTTAAGAATTAAAATCAATGCAAACATAATTATTAGAAGTTTAATTTGTAGAACTATCAGAAGTGATATATTTGAGATTGTATTTGTCATATATTTTAGCAATATTATTTTCTCGCAATTGTATGAAAATAAAAAGAGAATGAAAATGCATCTAAGTTTGAAATTACTTATCAAAAAGTTTAATAAATTTGAAAATAAGAAACGAAATAGAATTTAAAAAAAACGACAAACCACTTTATTTTGAAGTATTAAGCAGTTTATTTGAACCTAATACGTCTAATTTGCTTGAAATCTTTTGGAAGAAAACAGAAATCAGTGATAATTTAGTGAGTGAAATGTTTACAAATAGAATTTTAACTCTTTAAATCATTTCAATTTCCCATAAATTTGTTGAAAATTATTTTCACATAAAATTTAAATAAGAAAATTTTGATTAAGGAAAATATTTTGGCTTAATTTAAACTTCATTCGAATTTTGCCTTCCGTAAGTAAGCTAGACTGTCAAACATTTTAAAAAACATTTCAAAAGTATTAAATAAACATTTTAAAAATTGAACATTGCAAAATTTCAAAATAAATTTATGCTATGAAAGAATATCAACCAGAGCTATCCATCCAATCATAATTGCTGAAATGCTGAAAGTTTTTTTTAATTTTTTTTTTTTTAAAAAAAATCTTCAATGATAAATTTGAGAAATTTCGAAAACTGATAGCGTATATACAGCAAATTTTTCAAAATTAAATATTTTCATAAAAACTTTTTTTATATTTTGATGAAAAAATTTTTTTCATTTAATTAATTTAATATTTTAGCTGAAAAATTTTACCTTGCATAACTCGGATTGCTGATAATCATAAGTCTAATGGGTTAAATGATACCTTTTATTAAATTAAAATGAGTAAATAAATAAATTATTTTGTCTATTTGAAAAAAAAAAAAAGTAACAACATTTCTGCTTTACGAAAGAAGCATATAAGAGAGAAAATAGAAGTAAAAAGGAAGATTCTAAAAGTTTTTTTTTTTAAAAAAAGACCTTTAAACTAGCGTTACAGTACTTTTCCAAATAGCTTTAATTAATAATTAAAATTTTTCAAAAATTTTTTTTTTCCAACTTTCAGAAGGCTGAAAATCAATTTATTGTTGCTTAGCGATGCTAAATATTAACTTACCTTTTAACAATACCAAATAATGAAAAAGTAACATTTACAGGAAAAGTTCGAAAAAAATAGGAAAATAAACAGACCAGCAGAATAGCTAGAAGGAAAAATAAATTTCAAAAAGATACTTTAATAAAATATTGTTACTTAGTTACAGATGAAAATATGAATTTGAAAATTAAAATTTTACGTCTAATAAATTAATCAAATATAACAAAAATAAAAAATAAAAAAGCATTGAGAGCTATTGTGTTGCTAAAAGTAGAATTGAAATAATTGATATAATAGAAGCAGATGAAATAAATAAGGTAAAAAGTGATTTGTGACAAATAAATGAGTTTTTACTTTCATACATTCCTTGGCTACAACTTAACTTAGAGATATAGCATGCAAAAATATGATTAAATTACTTGAAGAGATACTTTTTAGGAAGTTATTCAATAAGACTTCGAGAATTGATCACAAGAAATAAGGGACCAAATTGAAGAAATAAGTTAACCAAATTGAAGAAATAAGTAAAAGTATTCATAAATTTTTATGAGTTAAATAATCCTAGCGTATAAAATTTTTTTGATGTCATGATCTCGGGAAATCTCAGCAAGAAATGCTAGAAATTCACTAAAAAATCATGAAATTTTTTGCCGTGAACATAAATCTGATCTGTTTTCAGGAATAGTTTCAGGATGAAGAGTAATATAGATATGCTGTAATGCAGCATATAGATGAAAACAGATTAACATAAAACTGTGTGCAACCGGAAAATGTTCATACCGAAAGAGATCAAGGTTTCTTTCTAGACTTAACCGGAAGAAGACTTTTCGTTTTCGATTTTTTTTTCCGCTTACAAAGAATGTTTTAGCAAGTGATGGCAGAAAATTGAATGCCAGAAATTGCGTCTTGCTAATATTGTTAAAGTAAAACTTAAAAAGCTTAAAAGCTTAAATTTTTTTTTTCACGTGATAGTGATGATATCATCAAATAAAATTAATCTTTTGGTTTAAATTCATCTTTTCGTTTTTTTTTTTTTGGTTTTTTTTTTGTAGAAATATTCATATCACATAATTCAAATATATTATTCTTTCAAAAATCACTTTGAAACTTCAGAAAAAGTGATCCGTAAGGGAAAAATTTGATTTGTTTGGTAAAGATAATTGATGCATATTGAAGAAATTGCACAGTTTTTTTAAATCAGAATATATTCAATCAAAATGATATCCGAATTTAGAAGAATTCAAATGTAAATTGATCAAAAGATGATCAAAAGATCGATCAATTCTGATATTTTTTCAGTTTGATAAGATTTATTTCTGACTTGTACGAAATAATTGAATGCTTTTCAAAATATATTTGCAAGCATATTGAAGAAATTGCACAGTTTTTTTAAATCAGAATATATTCAATCAAAATGATATCCCATTTTAGAAGAATTCAATTGTAAATTGATCAAAAGATGATCAAAAGATCGATCAATTCTGATATTTTTTCAGTTTGATAAGATTTATTTCTGACTTGTACGAAATAATTGAATGCTTTTCAAAATATATTTGCAAGCATATTGAAGAAATTGCACAGTTTTTTTAAATCAGAATATATTCAATCAAAATGATATCCCATTTTAGAAGAATTCAATTGTAAATTGATCAAAAGATGATCAAAAGTTCGATCAATTCTGATATTTTTTCAGTTTGATAAGATTTATTTCTGACTTGTACGAAATGATTGAATGCTTTTCAAAATATATTTGCAAGCATATTGCATTACAAAATAAGAAAATAATGCATATTTGAAGAATTTGTTTAAAAAAAAGTTTTTCAAAATTTGAAATACATAACACTGATTAAAAAATGCTTCATTCTTACATTAAATTTATTTATTATTCTATTACTTATTATGTCTAAATAAAAAAAAAAAGGTTTTTTTTTCAGAATATCTCTATGATAATATAGCTCGAATATGTGATAACGAATTATTAACTGGAATAGAATTTATCACTGATAGAAATATTTGATCAGATGTGGAAGCAATTCCAACTACGAACTTTATCAAGAACACGGTAAATGATTTTTGGTGACATAAACAATATGTGACATTTTCTCATCAGTGATATTCAATTATTGAAAGTTAGTAATTTAAGAATCCTTTAAAAATAATCAAATAATGTTGGATAAAAATTAATGATTGTTAGCGATTAGAGAGTGAGTAAGGCATTGGTATAATAAAATTGAAGAATTTTGTAAATGAAATAAATTAAATAATTATTAAAACTGAGTTGACTCATATTAATCTATCATTACGATTATAGTCCAAGTAAATTGAATTGTTTAAGTTTAAAAAATTCTTTTTGAATTTCAAATAAGTTTTACTTTTAGAAATTTTTCTTTTTAAAAGAAATAACACCTTTGCAACAATTGCAAATTGTTTAATTTTTCATTGTCAATTTTCCCTTCAATTTGAAAAACAAAAAATTCTCATAAATTAAGCAAAATAGATAAATCATCCTCATTCAATCAATAAATTTCGATTTAAGTGGTTGTAACTTGTAACTCACTGTTTCGGTCATTTTGGGTTTTTTTTTTTTTTAAATACATTATTTTACTAAAATTAGATCAGATTATTTGAGTGATGAATTCCAGTGAATTTAAATTTCCAAAATTTTCATCGAAGCATATAGGCTTACAGGAGATGCAACGAGTAAGCATTTTTTTTAGTATGCTAAGAGAGTAAATAATTTATTATTCTAGAATAGTCGTTTGAGATCTTGAATAAAGGTAAGTAACAGAAATAGGTGGTAGGTAGCAGTATGAATAGAAATAAATTTATTAGTTAAAAGAAATGCTTGCTTAAATAGTTCTGTTATCATAATCATTTAATGATAATGATTAAGCTTATAGTGTTAGCATAAAAATTTCTGCTAAATTACTACGTGTAATTTCAAAAGATTTGTTTTGAAGGTAATTCCATGAAGCATTGAAAGTATATTGTAATTTTCATAATGTGACTTAAGAAGCTTTAGCGACATAATAAAAAGTAAACAGAAATATTGTGATATTATATTTTAATATAATTATATTACGTCAATTTCAGTATACATTCATCTAGTTGTTAAGCGATGGCGACGGAAACAGTTCACAGATTGAATTGATCTTCGGCAGATTTGCATTTCCGATGGAGACAACACTGGGGTCATTGATCATTAAATTAGCACTTCAATGCTGTTTGAAGTTTTTGTAGCGGTGATATTCTTTAAGGCTGCTTTTATAAATTTCATTGAAAGTAACAAATTAAAGGTTTAATAGTGATATTTTGTGGATAATTAGAGGATAATACTTCGGATGTTACCATCAGTGACATCACGGTATGCTTTGACATTCCTAACAGAGAATCAATCCTAAACCTTTTTTTTTTTTATTACATTGAAGTCAATCGTTCGGTTACGGTTAGCTAACAGCGTAGAACACGTTAATAAACGCCAGCTAAACCGTATTTTAATATTTAAACCATAAAATGACCACATCATATATGTTTAAAATTCAACTATAAAAGTTTGTAATCAAATTTTGCGCAAAAAAAACATCAGCAAAAATTATGAAAACTTTCAATTAATCATGGTTTTAATTCAATTTAAGAATTAAAATTAAATTTTATTTCAAATTTAAATTTTTGAATTTTTTAAAAATCTTAGAAATTTGTAATAGTTTTCTTGCAT